TCCGTTTCTGTAACAGTTGTATTTAAGGCCCCGTTCGGGAGGGATTAAAAGTCAATTAAAATTGAAAATATGGCCGTTATTGGGTCCCACTCGTCTAATAAAAGTCAACAATAACGACTATATTTTCAATTTTAATCCAATTTTAATCCCTCCCATACAAGGCTTAAAACTAGTCAAGTAGTGATACCATGAACAAATGCCACCTTCTGTCTCTCTCTCCCCTTCCTTTCTTTTCCTTTTTTTTTTTACCCCACAGGTTTATCTATGTAGCTATTAGTTTGCAATATTTTTTAATTACAAATGTTATCGCGCTACTTTGTGGGTCACGCACGTATAGGTTCAATTGGGCAACATACCTGACAACGAAAAAGCCTCGTCTGCAATTGATAGACAATAACCTCATCAATTAAAAAGATAATGGAAGAAGGGAGATAAAAATATTGATGAACGTAGAATATTAATAGCAATTTCCCTTGTATAGAGGAATTGCTGCCAAAATTCAAACAGATGTTGCTGGTCTATTTTTATTTTTATTTTTATTTTTTTGTCATCTTTCAATAGAAAATTGCCAAGTGTATTCTGGCAAAATTCTGACAACCATTTAATGTACACATAGCAAAACTGGAATATTAATATAAAGGATAATCTTTTTTTCCATATTATAATCTTTCGAACTAATTAAATCATCACTCATCAAATTTTACTCTAAATTACTACTTGTTCATCCAACAAAAAAAGTTACATATTGCTCACTCATCTATTCAAACGTTTACTCATTCATCACTCCTTTGAAATTTGTTACCCACAATTAATGGATATCTCCACATGTACAACAAAAAGCTGATTTGGCACATTGTCACCATTAACACACCCAACTAATGAAGTTTATAGTTCAATTTATGGTACAATCTTAATGAAAATTTCCAAATAGTAAACACAAGATGGCCCAAATTGAAATGCCCAAATGTGTGAAGATAAACTTAGAACTCAATTCCCTGCAGAATTAGCAATTGGAGAAGACATAAAGAAGATGAAGAGAATTCATCACTACAATTACATTGCCAAAGAATGTTGGATTTCTTTTAATATGGCTCATCTGGGCTGCCCTCTCTTGAAGTTCAGTAGCCGATTTTGGACATTTTTTATTTACAATCTAGGGATTTTGATTTACGGGTTTAGAAGAAGCGTATTCCATAAATTTAACCAAAGGCGTCATTAGTTGGGTGTGTTTTTAACACTTATAGTCCATATTTGGTATCGATTAAAATATGAAATTTACATCAAAGTCAACAATAAATTTTAACCACATATTTTATGGGTCTTGTTAGTTTTCAACCACATATTTCTTGAACTCTTATCAAAATTTACTAGAAATCTGACAAAATAGGGGCGTAGACAAATTAACGATGGCAATATGCCGAATTAGCTTTTCGTTGTACGCGTGAAGATTTTTGTTAATTGTGGATAACAAATTTCAATAGAGTGAATGGGTAAATGTTTAAAAAAGATGAACGAGCACGAGTAATTTTTTTTTATTGGATAAGAAAATTAACTTAGCGTGTGTTTAATTGTGACGGAAAATATATTTTAGAAAAGAAAATATTTTTCTTGTTTTGAAAAAAACAAAAACATACTCCCACCAATGAAAATATTTTTCTTAAAAATAAGGAAAATTATGCATATTTTTGAAAAATATTTTCTATGAAAAAAATAGCAATCAAACACTTCGAATTATGAATTTGAGTAGAAAAATAAAAAATTTCGTAAAAAATAAATGCAATCAACACAACCTTAATAAAATACTAAAATTTGATGAGCAATGATTGCTTTGCAATGCAGATGGTCCCAAATTTTCTAATCCTTCAACGGTCAGATTTCATATCCCCCAACCACAGACTGATTATGTCGAGGGCAACGCCTTTGTCAAAAACGTTCAGATCATTGAAACCCCATTCAAGATTCAAACCAATTGCAATTAATTCTTCAAACCCACAAAAATCATCGCAAAGCCCATCTGAGATATTGGCATCATTGTCGGATAAACCTTCATCATCATCAAATTCAAGATCGAGGAGATGGACTGTATATCTGATTCTCTCCACCAACCCACCCGTCAAAACCTATGTCGGAGTCTCCAATAATTTCTCGAGACGGTAAATTCATTCCCTCTTCCTCAGTTGTGTGTGCCTTGTGTTTGTGGTGTTCGTGTAGCTGTTTTTACACCAATTTTAAATTTATGTTGGAAGGGATTGGACGTGCACGTAATTTGGTTCTAGGAATTGAAATAGGTAGAATAAAAACATAAATTTTACATGGGAAAATACCACATTCACATGTTTGATTCTTCCTTGATAAATGAAGTAATCTCATTCTCAGGTTGGTTTAGATTATCATGGTTCAGATGAAAATTGAGGGTGGTTTAATCGAGTTTTGGAACTATCTTGAACCTTTTATTCCGCTAATGGTTAGTGTTAGAATTTTATGGAACTTTAAATCTCAGGAACATGAAAACCTA